CCTTTGCAGTCAGCTTCAGCTGTGACTCAAGGGAAGTGCTTTGGAGGTTTGCGTGCTATATTCTTGGTTTGACAACTTTGAATTCTGTAGCTGAGTGGAATTTTAGTACATACAACAACGTCTTGACACAAAAGCAGAACAAGTAAGCCTTTGTTCATTTATAAACATGAAGAACTTGTCTGACATTGATGTCACTTGTCTATATGTAGACTGCATCCAGAGCAGGCTGAGAAGCTCGTTCATATTTACCAAAACCATTGAATTTGGGATAGGAAGGAATCTAAAACTTCTCGTAGCTCTACAACGTGGATTGGAGGAGAATTTGATATTCCAAAAGAGAACGACTCTCTAGTTGTAGGAGGCAATGGCACAAGCCACAAAACCATAGGTTTCAAGTCCTATGCGGAAGTTGACACATGCCTGAAGACGAAGATGATGACTTCAACCGGGATTCTGGTCTTAAGTTAGCTCATGGGAGGTAAGCTTCTTTGTTTACTTCTATCCAGGCTGATAGTATGCAATACTATGCAATGACAGTGAGATTAGTGGCCCTAGGGACGACATGGACCAGATAATTGGTGTGGAGACCTTACTTGCATCTCCTATGCCTCCTCCTTTCAAGCGCAAACATCTAAATGAGGGAGATTTGAGTGCCACTGTAGTCAAAAAAAGGAAAATCCGTTTGTTAACTGATTTGGACCAGCCTAGTACTAGCAGTTTAGAGCAACAACTGGCATCACTTGAAATTTTTCATGAATTGCCTAACATTAACATTGTTGATTCATAATCAAGTTGGCACGCACATGCTGTTTTTTTAATTTTTAGGCTGCTTAAGGAAATTGTTGGCTCGGCTGCTATCGGTGATAGACTTTTCAGATGACACTAATTTGTATAAAAGCTTAACATTTTCTCAGCCAAACAGCCATTTCAAATGGCTTTTTGGCAGTCGAAATAAAACACTGGTTTTTCTTGTGACGCACATCAATCAAAGTTACAGAAACCTTCACTCCACCGAAGAACAAGCAAAGTCTTGAGCTGCTGTGAAACCAGCTCTTGATGCAGCTACTGCTCTTTCCTTTCCTTCACAGTAAGTTATCCTTCACATACGTAGCAAAGAAAAGTTCACAATAAAGCCTTCAAATCTATGGCACTTTTTGAGGATTGGATTTCCCTGGCATTGCAAGAACTAGGAGTAAAGTAAAAGAGAACCACAAAGAGCGCTTAGCTAGAAAAGCTACGGCATTTTTGCAGTATTTCCACTACAGTTTTTGTTAACTATTGCTAGGATTTTTGCTGCAATTTTGGAAACCATTGCTGAGCACTAGAGCTTTCCAATCTCGTCCAGATAAGGAAAAGAAAGATCGTAAGCAAGGCCATGATAAGGAGAGAGTGATTGTCATGATCGAGAGATTGAGAGCATGATGTTGTGAGAGAAGGAAAAAAGAGACCATAAAGATAAAGCACACATAAAAGAGATGGGTGTGCTTTTGTTGGTTTAGTTCTTCCATTGTCTTAAAGAGAGCTTGTTTGTGGAATCCCTAAGGATGAGGGTGGCAGCATTTTTATTGCCCTTCTTTGCTTCCTTCCTATTGGATTCATTCCTGATTTCCATCTCTCAACAGCATGTGGCAGTTATCAACATCTTTGGCCATGAAGCGAGAGGAGGCGGCACACAATCTTGATCTTGGCAGGTTGAGCAATGACAAGATCACGAAGTCTCGGTGGTTTTGGCTCAGTGTCGGAGCCTTAGGTTTCAATCTTGCCTCCTCCCTAGCACAGGCATTCTCGCCATGGATTGGTAAGGTTCTCTAGCCATGGATCTTGGGACTCGTTGACCGTGTTGGGACGATCTTCTTGCAATGGGTATTAGTGCCATTGGCTATTCTCCGGACAGCTACACTTGGTTACTTTTATTCGAGTTATCTAAGAAAGGCTTAGTCAATGGGCAGCAGGCCCTATCCAGCTACCGATGGCCCAAATCCCGCAGCCACAACTAGAGGAGCAGGCTACACCTCCTGCTGCTCCTATTGCTTCTGCTGCTGCTGCTCCTGCTACTCCTCTTGCCATGCAGTAGCAAAAGCCCATGTTTTTGCTATCTACTCTAGTGTTCTCCCTTGCAAACGCGATTGCCATGGTGTAAAAATGGGTCTTGGCAAAGTTTTATTCAAAGCTACTTTTTGGCATTTTGAATAATTATGACTATTTAATTAAGCATAACCTTCAACCTTTAACCCCACTAGAGAAAAGATTCAATAGTGATTCGACGCATATTCAAGTTGTCAGAGCTATTACTGATATACATGGATCAAGGGTTTTCATTCAAGTAACTTGCGGGTTCTTTAAATTCTTTCAGCTTGGGTGAGAAGCAACACAAAAGGTTTAGCCTTAGGGCCAGTAGCACCATTTCTCTCCCATCCTTTCCTTTTTTGTTTCGATGTTAGGGCGGCAAGGGCGAAATACTACAGCAACATAGCGTGGCTGCAGCCGTGCTGTGGGAGGGTGAACAAGGTAGGAGCCTCCATCAATCCATCTGTAGGAGCAGACTCGGGAGAAGCCGTGATAGAAGAGGGGCCTAGTTTGGGTGTAGCCTCAAGAGACACCATGATCGGAGAGGGGTCTGTTTTGGCTGTAGATGATCAAGTTGTTGTGTTCTATGGGGTAAACCCTCGACTAGGTGTTGAGGATAGTGCTGCTGCGAGAATAGGGTGAGGCTGCAAGGGAGACTAGAGAGGGATCCAAGGGCAAGAGACCAACCCTCATCATCCTTCGAGTCCTAGAGGCCTCCGGATAAGGTTTGGAAATACGTCTTTTGTGATCCTTTAGCACTCAGGGAGAGGAACTTGGAAAACACTGAAGCAAATCCTCAATGTTTCAGCACCGACAAAGCTAGTTGGGAGGCAGTGGTTAGGTGTGTCTTATGCAAAGGTCCCGTGAAGGGAATTGGACCTACGGGGATTAGGAGGCATTTTTGCAGCTTCTACAAGGAGAAGGAGGACATAGGTTGCTGCACTCCTGACATAAGTTTGTGTCGCAGGCCAATACAAGAGTTCAGTGAGGAGTTTGTGTCTATAACAAGGAACAATATTGAGACGTACAACATCAAGCTTGTGGAGTTCGAATAACATGGCAGTGGTAGAATGACACGGTTTAGCAATCAAGGAGCTTCAGGGTCATAGAAATTGGATGAAGATGCCTACAGTGTTGGAGGATCAACATCAACTCCTCAAGTTAGTGGGAGTATTGAATGCAGGCCAAAATTGAACATGTTTGCCTTTTCGAGTGGTAATGATAACAAAGCATGGGAATGGATAGAATGTTTGAAGGGTGAAGACCGACTTGATGCAGAGCGGTTGCGGCAGTAGGTTCGAGCTACAATTGGCTGCATCTCTGTGGGTGGTTTATGTGCAGTTGGGAATCAGATTGATATAATAGTGTCTACTACATGGCCTTAGACAAGTTCAACAAGTCATATCTTGCAAGAAACAGTAGCTCTCAAAGGAGTCACAGGAAGGGTGTTGACCCCTAAAGAACTCAAGGCATGGTAGAAGGAGTATGCATTGAGAGTTTATATCGAGGCCAGAGCGTTCAACCTAGTAGTTGGTAGACATGCCCAATGCAGTTCCATGTTTCCTTTGCCTTCGCTAAAGGCTTTGCGTGAAGACTTCTTGGATGAGATATACCATGAAACGGTTGAGCGCATTGATCAACAACTTGAGAAAGCTATAGGTGCGTACAGCCCACGACCGTCTTGCTTGGTAACAGATAGTTGGAAGATAGTTAGTGGGTTGCATATTCAGAATATTATGATTGTTGATGCAGCACACCATGAAGAGTTTTTTTGTGGCTCATTTGAGTGCTATGAATCTTTAGGTATGTGTTGCTTTTTAATGTAATGTCCAATTAACTTGTTTACTTTGCAATGCAGCTGATATCTTGTATAGCAAATTGAAGATTGTGGTTTTGGCTATAAACACTCGGGTACTCACTGATGATGCAAATGTAGCCATAAGCAACATCCCTGGCAGTGGAAACACATTACACGATCAAATGTGGCATATAGAGAAGAAGCATGGATTATCAGCAATAGTAACGGACAATGCGGCTAACATGTGGTTTGTTGGATGCAAATTTGAAGTTGAGTTTGAAGATATGTGGAGTGTTCCATGCCAATGTCATGCTCTGAACCTTGTACTAATGTCTTGGGCAAGTTTGGACAACATCAAACAATATCTGGACACAGGGAAGTGTATAGTTCAATTTGTGAAGAACTTCACTCGTGTGCGTGCTTTTTATCAAGTTTAGCATCCTAAGCGGCAACTCATCAAACCTGTCACTACTCGGTGAGTATTAGAGTTGTGTAATTGTCTATTACTGACTTTAACACTTTTTTTGTTTCTTTCACAGGTTTGGAACCTATTATTACATGCTTAGGCGATTATGGGAAGAGCGTGGAGCATTGCAAAGGTTGTTTAGGAATACTGGATTTAAAGATTGGCTACGAAGTCAACCTACAACAACAACAAAGATTGCTAACCAAGCCATGACGGCAGTGGAGGATTTTAATTTCTGGTCGGGTGTTGAGAAGGTGATGCAGTTGATAGAGCTGGTGGTGATGGCAATCAAGTTCTTTGATCACTTAGCTTCAACCATTGGCTTTGTGTGGCAAGCATGGCATTTATTTAAGTTCAAGACAGCAACAGTTACAGGTTTTAGTGCAGAGGACAAATAGCAGCTTGAAGACTTTCTACAGAAATGGGAGGATTAGTACATGAGATCTTGTGACTTGTTTGGGGCAGCTTGGTGTGTAAATATACGTTACAAGGAGGATAGGAACAGACAGGAAGAAATAGTAGCATTCAGTTATATTCGACATCATTTCTATCCAAATGCTGAAGATGCCCACAATCTAAATCAAGAGTACTTTGCATACGTCAATGGAACTAACCCCTTTTCCATTGCAAACAACCATGATGCACAAGAATTGCTTGAGAAAGGCAAGGATGGAGATTTACCTTGGCATATTTGAGCCTCTACAGTCATCTTCAACTGTGACTTGGGGGCAATTCTTTGAAGGTTTGCGTGCTATATTCTTGGTTTGACAACTTCTAATTCTACATCTGAGCGGAATTTTAGTACATACAACAATGTCTTGATACTAAAGCAAAACAAGTAAGCCCTTTGTTCATTTATAAACATGAAGAACTTGTCTGACATTAGTGTCACTTGCTTGTGTGTAGACTGCATCCAGAGTGGGCTGAGAAGCTCGTTCATATTTACCAAAACCATCGAATTTGGGATAGGAAGGAATTTGAAACTTCTTGCAGCTCTGCAATGTGGACTGGAGGAGAATTTGATATTCCAAAAGAGAACAACTCTCTAGTTGTAGGAGGCAATGGCACAAGCCACACAACCACAAGTTTTAGGTCCTATGCAGAAGTTGACACTGAAAATGAAGATGATGACTTTGACCAGGATTTTGATTTTAGGTTAGCTAATGGGAGGTAAGCTTCTTTGTTTACTTCTATCCAGGCTGATAGTATGCAATACTATGCAATAACAGTGAGATTAGTGGCCTTGGGGACAACATGGACCAAGTAACTGGTGTGGAGAGCTTACCTACATCTCCCATGCCTCCTCCTTTCAAGCGCAAATGTCTAAATAAGGGAGATTCGAATGTTGTTGCAGTCAGAAAAAGGAAAATCTGTTTGTTAACTAATTTGGACCAGCCTAGTACCAACAGTTCAAAGCAACAACTGGTGTCACTTGAAATTTCTCATGAATTGCCTGACATTGACATTATTTATTCATAATCAAGCTGGTATGCATATGCTATTTTTTAATTTTTAAGCTGCTTAAGGAAATTGTCGGCCCGGCCACTACCAATGACAGACTTTTTAGATGACACTAATTTGTATTAAAGCTTAACATTTTCTCTGCCAAAAATCCATTTCAAATGGCTTATTGGCAGCCGAAATAAAACACTAGGTCTTGGACACTCATGATTTGGCTCTGATTGCTATTGTGTTGATGGCTTTATCTATGGTTTTCTTCCTCTACTTGTTCAATGTAAGAGTTGTGGAGCTCAAGAGAATGGTGCCTGAAGGGCATGGCAGTATTGGTTGGTTCCTTCTATCCTTTCATGGGTGTCATTTGCCGCATCAAGAAAGTGAAGGCGTGGGTGATTGCCAGTGTTTACACATGGTGGCTGCCTTTGCTCCATTTGTTATTTGCATGATCTATAGGCTTCCCTTCGATCGAGATGTTTCCTCCATGCTCTTTGCGGCGTGCTCTTTTTTTTCCGCAGTCACCTGGATTATCTTTAGTTGGATTGTTGAATTCCAGCTTCTGCATCTAGGTGGAGCGTTCATTGCCACTGCTATCCAGCTCATGTACTTTGCGACTTTCTCTGAGACAATTCGTGCTTGCTGTGTTGCAAGGTAAGAAAATCATTGAATTCTGTCTAACAACATTCTTGTTTAATCAGGGTATGTGCTTCTTGAGTCAAGCTCTACAAAATCTAAAAAGAGTATGTACTTTTAGAGTGAAAAATAGTGTTTGTGCTTCTAGAGAGCCTATCGCATATATGACTATGTAACAAAGTGTTGTTAAATCTGAGTCTGACATAAAAAATAGAAAAATCTATTTTGCAACCACAATTTTAATGGAGTTAAAACCAGAAATATTTCGAAAACCTGGAGTGCAAACTTGCTGTGATAATGTAGATCTCTTTTTCCATTTAATTCTTTTAACAAAAGTATATATACTTCTCCATAACTGAAGTGAATTATACTACAATTGTAAGTGATTTGTGACTCAATAATTAACACAAAGAAAACATCAAGTTCCAATTAAAACAGTAATCAAATTAGTAATTAAATGTATATTTCTGTTAATTATCAAATTAAATTTGTATTTTTAATGATTAGATTATATCTTGTTTCAAAAAGCTACCAATGTTTGATATATTTTTCATTTCTACTTGCCAACTTGTTTGTTAAAGTATGTTTCATGTTTGATACTAGAAACCAGGAGATCAATCTTTTGGGGATGTGAAGCTTGGGAGATGGAAAAATCAAACCCCACAAAAAGGTCAACCCTTTAATAGTATTGTATTCAAGCTAGATTTATTTATGAGTTTTATTTAATAATTTTTTCAGTTATTAGCTAGGTGTTATATCGGTCACAATTCATTGTTTTAAAACTGATCTTGGATTCTTATGCAAGGGCATAATCATTTATAGAGATCTTTCATATTTATCATACAAAAATAAAATATACATATGTATATACATTATATTTATACTATATAAAACGTTTTCTCTCTCTATTTGGTAGAGGAAGTATTTCAATGAATACCCAAAGATGATATGGAATATTCTTCTTCACTAAATTTTTTCAACCCTAAGTAGGTGATACTTAAGGATTATTAGAGGCCATACTTATACAAATTCACAAACCTTATTAGGACAAACAAACCTTAGTTCAACTTATATTAGGTTTTGTTAAATAGTCTTTGATTATCAAAGAAAAGTAAATTAGCCCTAAGAAAGTATTAAACCCAAGTTTATAAGAGTTAAACCACTAACTAAAAATATTCAAGTTATTTAGTCCACCTTTATTATTTTATTTAATATCAAATAGAATAACTCTTCAAAAAACTAATATTAGATGCTCATAAAGAATTTGATATATTTTTAATATGGTTTAATATGTCTTCAAATTGATTCTAACTTTACTTTTTGTTAAAATTAATTTATAAAATTTCAATTATACTTTAGAAAACCTATAGGAAATGGTTGAACGCATTCATACAAGAGTGGTGAGTTAAAGGTACACATAGTAAACGAGATTGAAGCTCAAGAAGACAAACAGTGGGTTAGAATGCTCATGCTGACCCGAGTAACGGGTTATTAGAGCGATCATGCAATTCTCCCAGTTCTATGAATTATACGGTCTGGTGGCACGAGGGTGCCACAATCTCTGGATCAAAAACAAGTTTTTGCAGCTAAAATGTAGAGTTTTGGAGGAGAGAACATTGGTGGTAAAAGAGGTTGTGAAACAGAAAGCTACGTCAATTGTTTTATCTGTAACTCTCAAAGGTGGCTGAAACTTGCCGTCAAATGGCACTACATCAGGAAGGGGAATATAACTGGGAAGAATGGTTTCACATTGAGCGTGAAATGGCATGCCAAGACCAA